TATAAGATAATTATAAAATAATTATAAAATTATTTTAAAATAATTATATAGTAAAATTATTATAAAATTATTATAAATTTATTATAAAATTATTATAAGGTACAATTTTAATAATTGTATTAATATCGTTAAGATGATCTTAACTCTATTGAAAGAAAATAGCTAGTTTCTGTAAAGTATATATATATTATATTTTAATTCTATCTGTAGATTACTATATTATTAACAAGATATGTCTCATCTTGTTACTATATAGCACCTATGTGCAGTGTTGTACATTTTCATTGTCCCAGCCTTTTTTTGCCATATTTCAATATTCCAATATCTCAGTGTCCCAAGTGTCTCAACTATGTCTCAAGTCTTAATAATTAATAAATTAATTTAAAAAAATATATAATTATATATTTTTTTAGGTGCTAAACATATTTTTAACAAAATTAAATTAGATTATCTTAATAAAATTTTAAGTAATTTCAATTTATAAAATTGTTTTAAAATATCCCAATTCATGTCCCAACTGTCTTATGTACAACACTGCCTATGTGTGACTAATTCCTGTAAATTTTCACTTCTTTGAGTTCTTGTAACCTACAAATTCTCAATTCACTAGCATGGTTCTACTACCTATTATTATTATTCATATATATCCTGCTTATATACTACTATACAAATTTTATCAATTAAATTCTATCATTCTTATATATAGCATTACTCCTAAACCACTTCTTGAATTATTTCCAATAGGGGTGGGTACTCTTATTACTTTCAGTTTGGTGTTTTCAAATGTTCTATTTGTTCTTTCTAATCCATATTTCAAGCCACATACTGCTGCTATTTGAAGGCCTGTATCTCAAGCCACATGCTGCTGCTATTAGAGTTTTTTTTGTACTTTTAGGTATTTGTATTATATACTGCTATATTGGGCTACTATCTTGTTTATAATACTACTAATACTTATGGTATTACAGAAGCCTAAATCCCTAAAACAGGAATTGAGTACTTCATTTAAGTGCTGCTACAATTCAGTACTCTATTGTTATACTTTGTCTTATAACTTCCATGCTAGTTGTACAACTATTATCCACTAGCTGAATTTCTTTGCATACTACCAAGATACTTGTCATATGTTTGAGACTTTTCTTAATTAGTTTCTTTGTTTCTATAAGTTAGAGATGTTTCATATTTGGTAAAGCCATTTTCTTACTATAGCCCCTTATAATATTCATCACTTCTCTTACCACTTTAGGTTATACATTACAAAGTTGTTTTTATATAGAGTTATATAGAATATTTATATAGTTATGTAAAATTTTTATGTAGCTTTATAAACCCAATATATATAGATTTATATAGATATTTATATAAATTTATATATATATCTATGTAGAGTTATGTAAAATTTTGAAAAAATTTCAACATAAATATTAAAGCTAGAAATAGATTTTAAAGCTTAAATTAGAAGTTTGGAAAATTTTTTGGCCTCTAAATATTTTTACTTAATATATTGAGTATTGATTACCTTAGCTAGTTTTGAGAAATAGCCAAAGTAATTTAATTTATTTTTATATAGATATAAATAAAATTTATAAAATTTTTATATTTATATAAATAATAAATAACATTTATATAAACATTATATTAAATTATATATAAAAATTATAACTATATAAGTTTACATTAGGTTTATAAACCTAAATAAAAATTTTATATAACATTTATATACTTGATAGAGTTATGTAAATTTTATAAAAAAAATATACTTTGTAATGTACTACTTTGGGCTATCCTTCCAAACAAGATTCAAATACCACCTTAGGGTTGTTGGTGCTATCTTGCCAATTGCAAATTTACTGTATTTACCCGAAATAACGCACATGAGTGTTATTTCAAAAATTGCATTTTCTTAAAATAGCATAGTTGGTTTTGAAATAATGCCCATGTGCGTCTCGAAATAACGTGCACCCTATATACTAATGTTTGTAGTTAAGTATTTGGAGGTCAGTATTTACTTGTAATTAGACCTTTACCTCAAAATAACGCTCATACAAGTCCTTGAAATAATGCACATCTCCTTGAAATAACATGCAGGTGCATATTATTTCGGGTAAATATGGTACATACACAGCCTTCTGTAGTATTTTCTTATATGACCCATGTTATACATAGTGTCTATCATCTCCAAGACTTAGGCTCTTTCCAAGAATTCTTTATCAACCAAATAGTGCTTCACATGGTCTTACTGCCACAGAGCTTCATATCTGAAAAGCTCTCTTAGGTTACAGAAATAATTAATTAAATTAATTACCCCAGCTAGATTCAAACTGTCGACCTTGTCTATAGAGAGTTGGATGCCTAGACCACTAGGCTATGGAATCCCAACCCCTTTATCAATAAAATTATTTTAAAAATTACAATTAATTGTATAATTAAATAATTATTATCAATCATATTTATTCAAATTTTAGCCAATAAAATAAACTTCTGCTATACTAATTCCAAATATTTTAGGACCCACTAGGCTGATTTTAATTTAACCACTATTAGAACTAGAAAAATCTTCTTTATAACTTTAGAGCTGGAAGAAAGGTTTATTTATTAGTTTTAGAGTTAGAGTTAGAGTAATATTAAAACCTAAAGCTAAAGTTAGAGTTATGAGCTTTTTTTTTATATTATTATCTAAAAATAGAAAATTTTGTATAGCAATTGCGAAAATAGCAAAATCTGTTGTGAAGATAGTAATTCCTTATATTTATTATATACAGAATTTATCAGCGATTATATTTTATTATGCAGAATTTTACAAAATTTATACTTAATTATATTTAACGTATACAGAATTTATACTTATTATATATAACAAATAACAAAATATATACAATTAAAATCATTAATAAAAAGGTTTCCATATAAAATTCCGTATCAAGTGATACGGAATTCGACACTAATTCCATATATTTGCATACAGAATTTTATACGAAATTTTATACGGAAAAATTTTCAGTATATTTTTTTCATAGGGAATTTAATATTTACTGTAAATAGACTTCTAAACATATTTGAAAACAACATAAAAAGAGCACATAATAACTATAGTAATAATAATCATGGATAAGTAACATAAAGCTTTCCTTTTATACAAGACAAGTCTGTTTTCGTATCTCCAGGATTAGAAACTAATCATGAAAAATAATAGAAATAGTATAAACATAAATTATAGTTTTATAAATTATAATATTATAAAATTTCTTTTTAAATAATAATAATAATAATAATACGTACTTTGAAATATATAATCGTAATCGATTGTGGTATTCTTAGGGTCGTCTTGGTGTTTTTCAATAGGAATAGTAACAGTGTACTTAAAATCTCCAGGTGAAACAGGACACTTATCACCATTTACTTCAACCCATACTTTACAAAAATCCATAATATTTACAAATAATTGTTTTCCTTGGTACATTGCTGTGACGTTTAACGTAGCTCCATCTTGAACTGTTACTGTATTTATTCCTGCAATAGTGACAGTCATATTTTCTCCGGAGATTGCAGGATTAGGTTCATAAAAGATTGTAGTAATATTGTTTGGAAATGTACCTTCGCATTGAGTAAAGTCTGAGTGTGAGTTACGTCGAAAAGATGGTGATAGAAAGCATATAGATAATGTGATGAGGGTCAAAAATGTCAAAAGAGCAAAGAATTTACACATTGATACTATTTAATAATTCAAGAAAAATTTGGATTGTATAAAGATTTATTGCATTTTATACTTTTCTTATTTCTTATGATTTTAATTCTTTTTGAAAAATTGCAGAACTAAATATAGAACCTGTTCCTGTGTCGAAGCCATAGAATAAATCAAGTAATAAAATAATAAATTATAGTTATTGTATGGGTATGTGCTAAATAACCCAGTTACGCACGGGTTCATATTCCGTGCCGAAGGCACGGATTTAAATATGAACCCGTGTGTGTAACTGGGTTATTCAACATACCC